ACGTTCTCCTTTGCCAGTTACTGGGATCCTCGATATATGTCGTTTGGCAACCTCCGAGTGATCAACGAAGACCGTGTCGAGCCTAGTGAAGGCTTCGGAACTCATGGTACGTCCCGATATCGAATTAAAACCTTGTTATAGAATAAATGTATACTGACTATTTCTAATTTTCCGATGATAGGTCACCGCGAGATGGAAATCTTTTCCTACGTCGTCTCGGGCGAACTTGAGCACAAAGACAGCATGGGCAATCTCGAGATCCTCAAACGTGGCCACGTGCAACTCACTTCCGCAGGAACCGGGATTCGCCATTCGGAGTACAACCGCAACAACAAGTCCGTCGTCCACTTCCTTCAAATTTGGGCCGAGCCACATACCCGCAACTTACGCCCCAAGTACTTCACTCGCCACTTCACCGACGAAGAGAAGACCGACAAGCTCGTAACAATCGTGGCACCTATTGGAAGTGAAGGTGTCAAGGAGGAGCGGGAAGGAAGCGGACCTGCACCTGTGCAGAGCAACGTGACACTCAAGTCCACTATTCTCACCCCCGGAAAGAGCGTCGAGCACGTCTTTTCTGCTCCCGCATCAGGCGAGACTCAACGAAAAGCATACGTCCACGTCATCCAGACAAGCGGATACAACACCGAAGCTGCCAAGGGTAACCGTACGTCGCTCCATGCTGCGCTAGTTTTGAAATTGGAAACTGACCATTAGGCCGTCTGTATATAGGAGTCCGCGTGAACGGTGGTCTCGAACTTTCCGAGGGCGACGGTTCGTTCGCTTGGGGCGCCGCTGGTGACAAGCTGCAAATTGAGAACATTGGCACGACCCCTGCCGAAGTTTTAGTCTTCGAGATCGAGTAAATATATTTAAAAAAAACCTGCTTTGGGATGCTTTGGGCTATGTATCGGACGATTAGATCGTATTGTATAGAGTTGGAATTTTCAGCCTTAAAAGGTGGAGGGTTCATCCCGAATTCGAACCGGGGTTGTCGGATGGTCTGAACGAAGTGCTTCCACTGCACCAATGAACCCCCCAAGAGGATAGTCAAAAGCACGGCTGAACGCTGGAATGTTGCGTGGCCATCACAGGGGAAAAAAAGAAACAGAAGAGAGTGTTCCTACCGATAGTGATGGTAAACCCCAAAGCTTCAACAGCCCGCCTGTAGCGAGAGGATCCTAAGCAATGTCTCAGTAGAAAGAAGTGGCCATATACTGTGCTCGCCGTCCGATATCAGGTGAACTACGTGAGGGTGCTGAGACCAAGGTAGTCGTCCTATTGGTCTACCGAGGTAATGGAGTGCTACGGAGTTCTGGCCGAACTATGGGCGCTACGGGGCCGTCAATAGTTCGCTTATTAGCCTACGGCTGTCAGTTTTTTCCCGATGTTGACAGGTCACGTGATGAGCCCGACATCCCCGTGCCCGGTGGAATTGAAAGCCCCTCCCCCCAAAAGTTGAACAAGCCTTCCCAAAAAAAACCCCGTTAGTCAAGTAGCAGGAGTCTACATGAAATTATCTATCATCCGATGCCACTACGTACAGAGGGAGGGCCGTATAGGTCTTTTACTCTTCCAAGGCATTTATGTCATCCTCTCTTGATCTCGCTCGTTGACCGGCGGCAGCGGCCCGGTAAACGGGACATTTATCGCTTCCGGAAGTGCTCAATGAACACGTCTCCGGCGTCAGTCCTTCCACCTTTCGCCGAGAATATCCACTCTCCAAGAGGAGCCGTACGAAAAACGAGGGAGAACCTTGCAGTAGACCGCCAATGCGGGCTCCATCTCGACGCGGCTTGCTCCACCCAAGCCTATCATGTAACGAATGTGAGTGTGGACTGAGAAAGGGGTATGAAAAAACCATCACTCGCCTGTATATCTTTGCAGACCGGGTCTTCCGCTCTCGCAGTCAACTCGATCACCAGACTCTGTGGAGTCGATGACCCGGTGATAAGAGACTGGATCAGAGGGTTACCGTCCCACTCAAACCCCGTCGCGAGTGCGAAACGCAGATTAGGAGTATGTAGGAGCGTAAGCAAATCCGCCGGTCCTTTGTATTCCATCAGGTCTGGGAGGTTCGCCGGGATGTCTCCTTGGGCCAGCGCCGACGTTTGGATCGAGTTGTCGACGTCGAGAGTCTTGAGCTTTGAACAGCGGGCGAAGTACGATAGTACATCTTCCTTGTTGACGGAGTAAGGTTGATCGTCTGTTATAGTAAGATGTTGCAGGGGTGAAGGAGATAAGGTCTTAGGGAGCTGCGTTACGGCCCTAAAGGACTTTCCGCACAAGGCCAGCGTTTGAAGGGTGGATAGAAACGCCAAGAATGGAACCTCTCGAGGGAGTTCGGGCGGGGTCCAAAACGTGTAGTTGAGCTCCAATTGCACGACTTTTAAGGGTAGGACCTCGATCACGCCGCATACATCTTTATTCCAAAGGTACCTAGGGAGGGGTCCCAAGTCCTTGTTTGATCCACAGTTCCGAATTTTTAGACGCCGTAACTTATCGAGTCCGGTCATGTTCCTGAAGATCCAAAAGCCGAGACAGATGTCGACCAACTCCAGTCACTCCACTGGCCACACGGCGTCTCCAAATAGCCAAGGGATTAGGGGCGTGACAGCCTCGCCCTTCACTATCATTTCTGTTGGGGGCTCTCCTACACGGAACTCTGAAACCCTCGTCAAGTCTAGTGAAGGCTTGGGTAGACTTGGGTCCGATATGACGCGCAACCTCCTCCGCACCTGCTCCCCAACCATATATAGCGCCCGGCATGTGAGCCACAGACCCTTAAACGCGTGTCCATACCACTGCTGGCGGAGAATATCCGGCTGGCCCAACGCAATATTCTCCTCGACGGCTCCATGAAATAAGACGAGGAAAATTTGCTCCCATAGCTCGAGGGGAATGAGAGGGATATCGAGGCTGTGCGCATGGCGGAATCTGAGTTACTTGGTGGGGAGAATGGTTTGGAGAGTTGACATTTTGGGGGTTCATTTCTGTTCATGGGTTCTGGATGGGGGTGGGGGGCTGCGCACAGGTTTAAAGTTCTTCGTGGCAAGTTCGTGCTTTGGAATGAGACCGTCGGAATCGAGCAGTGTGGTCAGGCAAACAACCGCACGGCTTATGTCAACCTTGATCACGTGACTTACGCTGAAACACTCGACTGCTTCCTATCCTCTTGCTCTGACGAAGGAAAGATCCTGAGAGTCAATTGCAGCGAGATTCTTTGGAGGGGAGAATTTCCACTGTGCAGAGACTGTGGCTGCTGAGCCTGTCACGTGATTTGTACCGCATTCACTGAGGCGGCATGCAGATGTCCATGCTCCCGCTAACTTCGCTGAAAAAATTGACAAACGATATACGACTTGGCTGCCCATATTACTGACCATCCTCAATCATGCTCCGTTCGTCTCGAAGAGTCTTCCAGATCCGTGGAATCAAGTAGTAGTTTACAGAGTCGTTGACGTCATCCGGCCTTCTGCCGTCGGTAGGACCCTGATCACATCAGCAGAAGCCGGACCATCTCATTTGCTTACTTGCTGACGGCTGCTCATCCGGAATCTCGACCTCCTCCCAGTATAAAGGCCAATGCCTAAACGACGGACTCTGCAGCATCAACAGCTTTGTTTCCTGCATCAACGAGGACCACGAGCAACAAACTCACACCCCAGCGCAACTTAAACAACTTTTCCTCGCTCCACTCGCCATCCTGTTCTCCTCACTCCTCCAGCGTATAGCTCTTGGATCAGCAGCTTCTTCCACCACTAAACACGAGATTCCTCCTACCGCAATGTCTTCACCTGCATCCACGTCCTCCTTGTCTCCTCTCTACCCCAACGTCAAGCTTGTTCCTCGTCCTAACACTGAGCGTGGTGGAGGTATGTTCTCAACATGTTGAATTTTTCAGAACTGGTAATCTGACCCACTGTTCATAGCCAATCATGGTTGGTTGAAGACCTTCCACACCTTCTCATTTGCCGGTTACTGGGATCCTCGATATGACTCGTTTGGCAACCTTCGAGTTATCAACGAAGACCGTGTCGAGCCTAGTGAAGGCTTCGGGACTCATGGTACGTCCCGACTTTGAATTAAATCCTTGTTATGGTATATATATTGACTATTCGAATTTTCGATCATAGGTCACCGCGAGATGGAAATCTTCTCCTACGTCGTCTCGGGCGAACTTGAGCACAAAGACAGCATGGGCAACCTCGAGATTCTTAAACGTGGCGACGTGCAACTCACTTCCGCTGGAACTGGGATTCGTCACTCGGAATACAACCGCAACAACAAGTCCGTCGTTCACTTCCTTCAAATCTGGGCAGAGCCACACACGCGCAACTTGCGGCCCAGGTACTTCACTCGCCACTTCACGGATGAAGAGAAGACCGACAAGCTCGTAACAATCGTCGCACCTGTTGGAAGTGAAGGTGTCCAGGAGGAGCGGGAAGGAAGCGGACCTGCACCTGTGCAGAGCAACGTGACTCTCAAGTCCACCATCCTCACCCCCGGAAAGAGCGTCGAACACGTCTTCCCCGCTCCAGCATCGGGCGAGATTCAACGAAAATCATACGTTCACGTCATCCAGACAAGCGGATACAACACCGGCGCAGCCAAGGGTAACCGTATGTCACTCCGCTCTAATTTTTGAGATTTGAAGACTGACTTATGTGAATTCTTATTCTAGAAATCCGCGTGAACGGCGGTCTTGAACTTTCCGAGGGCGACGGTTCGTTCGCTTGGGGTGCGGCTGGTGACAAGTTGCAAATTGAGAACATTGGCTCGACCCCTGCCGAAGTATTGGTCTTCGACATCGAGTAAATGGATTAGAAAAACCTCGTTGGGAATGCTCTCAACTCTGTATCGGACGATTAGATTGTATTGTATAGAGTTGGAATTTAGTACTTATTTTGCGTGTCTTAAGCTCCGTGAGTGACTCAGATCAAGCATCCTTCGATTGGGGATTCTTCGGCTCTATCTGCGGGCCGTGAACATTATAGATGTTCTACCACAAGGCGTCTATATCGCCCTCTTGATCTCGCTTGTTGTCCTGCAGCGGGACATTCAACGCTGATGGGAGTACTCAATGAACCGGTTTCCGTCGTCCGTCCTTCCCCTTTTGCAGAGAAAATTCGAGCTTCGAGAGGAGCCCTACAAAGAACTTTGCAGTAGGCCGCTGATGCGGGCTCCAGTTCGACGCGGCGTGCTTGACCCAAACCTATTGTGAAGAGTGTGAGCGTGGACGAAGGAAGGGGGTAAGAAATGAACCATAGCCTGTTTATCTTTGCGTACGGGGTCTTCTGCTCTCGCCCTCAATTCGATCACCAGTAATCATCGTCTCTTTCGCACTATCAGATTTCATTCCCCCCTCGGCGCACAGAATGCGCAACCGATCCGTGGGAACTCGGCTCTGGGGGGTATGCGACGTATCTGTTCAACGAACGTGATTGACAATGCCCGATCGTTCCTGAGGAGCGGAGTTAAACATAAGTCTGGAGCACCCGTGATGCGTTCTTGGCCAGATAATGGAAGCTCAGCTTCCTCGTAAGAAATGTTACATGAATTGCTGCGGACGAGCTTTGCTATTCATTCGGTCTCCATTAGCGCGATTTGGTCCACTTCCCTTATGGATTCTTCAGAAACGTCCGTGGAAATTTTCAGAAACGCCACAGGAACGGCGCTGGGGTCGAGATTATACAGTATATATAATAGCGATGGTTGTCTCACCGGCCGGCTATGTCAGAGTACTCTAGGATGCTTTGCAACGTAAGAGCTCCGCGGCAAAGTGGAGTGGGGTGCCATAGGGGAGAAATCAACAAGTTTGGTCGGGAAACATTAGCGCGGCACACAACACCGCGAGGAAGTAGGTATTTTCGCCGGCGAGAATGCTGCAGATTTGTGTAATTTTCGCCGCGAAACAGATGGAGACCTTTCTATGTGAATGTGCTGATTGTTTTCGTCCAACGTAAGGGTAGCGAAAATGGGCTGCCTGTTCTCGCTCCAGTTTCAAAACCCGGCGAAAACGACGGGAACGCGCTC